TTTTTTTACCCCTATTTCTCACCCTCTGCTATTTCCCACCCTCCTCCCACACTATCTCACGTGTCTACAGTTGTTTTCCATTCCTTTTTTTCTCACATTTTATTGATTAACAAAATTTCGTAAATAATCTAACTACTTTCAATAGCAGATTCAGCTGCTATGTACATATCTGTGAAAGCATGTCTGCCTTCAGGTGTGAAATTGAGTAGAACGAATGTACTATGAAGTAGCACCTAGCTGAGGCTATATAGCTTACTACAGTCATTCATAGATATTTTAAAATATATTTTTTGGATGAGGTTCTATTTCTAAGCTAACCCCTTTTCTTTTGCTTCAAGAACAGACACAAGGACGATTGACATTTCCAGTGACGGGAGTCCTGAGGCTGGGACGCCCTGGGTCAGGACACCCTGTGTTGTCACTTCCTCATCCGTTGCATGGCACGTGACAAGTTAGCTAATGTCCTTAAGCCTTTGTTTTCTTCTCCTTCAAGCAGGGACATTACTATCCTCCTTTCACATCACTGATCAGACCCAGCTGCTGCCAGGCTGGAAACCACATGGTCGACCACGGATTTGGATCCCGGGTGGGCCTTAGAATATACCAGGCACAGGCATGGGGACCCAGGATCCTGAGGAGCTGGAGGGCTGGGGGAGGGGCTGGATCGTGGTATGACGAGATCCTGTCAAGAGTGCTTCTCTCTCTCTCGTATGTGCATGTATTCTCTATCATTAAAAAATAGATTACTCACAACATCAAAATAATAAAAATCAGACCCCATACCCTACTGGTTCTGAAAACAGGGTCCCACATGGCTAACTGTGCAGTTTGCGCTCAGAACCCCTGGCCTGAAAAATTCACGGGGCACGTGTACATCCCCAGATTCCCAAAGGAGAAATGGAGAAGGGACCGCAGCATGATCATGCCCCACTGGGGGGGAAGGTGCTTTCTTAATCATCTTCTGTCTCTCTGGCAAATATACATGGCCTCTGACAAATTAAGGAAAATAATAATAATAGTAAAAATTAATTTAAAATGAAAATAACATAATTAAAATATTATGTAAATTGTTATGTTTATTAGACAAGTGTTTATTAAATAACTATTATACAATTGAACTGACAATATCTAGCTTGTGGCATGGTGGTTAAGGTAGCTGGATCCCAACTCTGTGGTTCAAGTCCCAAACCTGAAAGCTTGAGAAATGCTGGGCACGTGCGCATGTAGGCCCAACATCTCAAAAAGGAGGGAGCGAAGGAGGAGAAAGGATTGTGGTGTGACCATTCCCCATGGAGATGCCTTCTCACTTTCTCCCTCTCTCCAGTGAGCACACATGCCCTCTGGTAAATTTTAAGATTTAAAAAATTAAATAATAAATAACAAGAATGCATAGAAACCCTAGTTGTAAGAGCTAGGAAAGCAAGAAGGGAAAAGGACAGAGGGATGAGAAGGTGAGGGGAAGGATTGCAGAGAAGTCTGAAGCAGGGAGAGCCAGGGCAGGGAGGCGCCAGCTGAGAGGCCCCAGGATCCAGTCAGGCAAGGCAGAAGCAAACAGCCTTGAACCGGCAGGGCTGTGTGCTCTGCGATCCCTGACAAAGCGCACATTTTGTGCATCCGCCCTCAGAAGGTGCTGAGTTTGCTCAGCCCCCAGGCAGGCCTCTGCGGGGAGCCGGGCGGCTATGCTCCCTCTGCGGGGGTGGGGGATATTTTGCGGGGAGGAGTAGGAGGGTAGGGGGTGGGGGCGGCCAGTGCTCCTGTCAGTTTGTCTGCTGACTCTGGAGCCCAGGATGGATGCATGGGACCGGCTGAGAGGCCACTTCCACAGCTTCTCTCTCTTCCTGTCGGGGGTGTGGCTGAGGTTGGTTCACCTGCTGGTCACAGTGAGGGGGACCTGGAAGGGGGACCGGGGAGCTCGCCATCTGTCCACCACCACCTTGCAAAGACTGGCAGTAAAAAGTAAAAATGGGGACCAGCAGATGGCCTAATGGCTACATCGCTGGACTCCCATGTGGTCGGCCTCGGTTTGAGTTCCGGACCCGCTTACGCAGGCCGCGTGTGCGTATGTGCCCACGATCCCAAGAGCAGAAGGGATTGCAGCGTGACCAGTCCTCCTGGGGGGAGGTTGATTTCTCGCTTTCTGTCTTTCTGGTGAGCGCCAGCGCAAAAAAAAAAGAAAAGAAAAAAGAAGAAAAAAAAAAAGTAAAAATGATAACGAGCTTTTGTACAATAGTAAAGTTCCTCAGCACTTAATAGTTGGTGCCTGTTGAGGCCAGGAGGTGGCGTGGTGGTTGAGGCACTGGACTCCCACATGGCAGACAGCAGTTCGAGTCCCAAACCTGGCAGTTAATTCTCTCTCTCTCTCTCTCTCTCTTTCTCGTGAGTGCATGTGTCCTATGGCAAACTAAAAAAAAAAAATGCTGGCGTCTCACTTAAACCTCGTGACATTTAGACTTTCAAGAAGCTAAGAGCCAAAAGTTGAGGTGATCTGCTTGAGGCCAAAAGTCCAGAGAGGGTACTGCTGTGATCTGATCGAGACCTGCTTCCACACTCCTTACCCTGCCACCGGATCACGACAGTCCAAACGGCAGTCACTGAAAACAACCCTGCATTTAGGGGATCCGAGAACACACCATCCCCTTTACTTTTGGACAGGCTCTCCATGCCATGATCCTCCTGCCCTAGCCTCCCAGTTGGCTAGGATCACCAGCCCCGGACACATCCCCGGTCTATTTGGGTTGACGTGGATCTGACATGGACTTCCCGTGTGGACTCGGTCTTACTCAGTCTCGCTCGTACACCGTGGCTGGCCCCAAAGCCGGTTTTCCTAAACGCCTTCCTTCTCTTGACAGATCTGAGCTTGGGATTCTTGGAAAGCAGTAAGAGGGGCCTTATAACCAGGAGCAAAGCAGGGCGACATAAAGAGCCTCCAGGCATTGGTGGAAGAAGTACGACTAGCGAGTCTCAAGTCTCTATTCTGAGTCTCTTGAAGGTGTTCAGAACGATGGCAGGAGGGTGTGAGTTTAGCAGACCGAGGAACCCCAGTTGCCCATTAGAATCCCCTGGGGGCTTTTCAAACCATGCCTACCCAGGCCCCTCCCAGACCGCTGGGGGTGGGGCTGCCCTGTTGAGTTCTTTTACAACTCCCTGGAGCTTAGTTTCTGAGGGTAGCTGGGACGTGAGCCATAGGACAGAGGCACAGGAGACAGGAGACAGGAGACGCTCCTTCACTTACCTTCTCCGCCTCCGCCATGTTCCCCAGGATGGTGTGCATGCAGCCCACGTTGAAGCAGATTCGGGAGTGGGGGTCCTGGACAGCGCTGAAGGCATCCAGGGCACCCTTCCAGTCCTTCTTGTCGGCTGCCAGCACCCCTGTGTTCCAGAGGCTGATGGCCTCAGCCAGGGACATGGTCAGGGGCAAACCAGGCGGCCAAGAGAGTGGCCAGGGGAATGGGAGAGGATGGGCAGAGGTGTCTCCCCAGCAGGGCTGACCTAGTGTCCCCCAGGTCTTCACGTCCTGGCCTGGTGCACAGAATGGAGTCCAGTCTCCCTTAAGACGACTTCTCTGTGTTGCAAATGTGTCAGGAAATGTCCCCACTTTTTGGCAACTGACGCATAGGCCTACCATGAGAGAGAAAAGGAAAGAGACAGAAGGAGGGGGCAGTGGGGGCGGGTGTGGCCGAGAGAGGAAGTACATCAGATGCAGCCTTCATGGCTCACTTCCCCAAAATGTTTCTGCTGGGTCACAGTCGCTCCTCTGGGTCGCTCACCCCCTCTGCCACAGCCTCTGGCCAGGGCTCTGCCCCCAGGCCCAGGGTGACCTAGGCAGCTAGACGTTCCTCCATGGGCCTGAATTTCCCTCCACACCCCTGTTAAATGAGGGTGTGATGAGAGGCCAGATGTTCTCAGGCCCACACGAATTCCTCGCTCAGTTCATAATACCATAGACTGCTTTGGGACCAGCAGTCGGCGTAATGGCAATGTATGGCTATGTTGCTGGACTCCCACGTAGTCGACCACGGTTCGAGTCCTGGACCCGGTGGCTTAAACTCACGCTGGATGCGTGTGCGTGCGTGCCCAAGATCCAGAGAGGAGAACGGAGAAGGGATTGTGGCATGGCCATCCCCCCTGGGGAGTGATTTCTCGTTTTCTGTCTCTCTGTCTCTCTCTTTCTGGCAAATGCATGTACCCTATAGCAAAAACCTCTCCCCTAAAAAAGACTGTTTTGATTTGCTAGCTCTTGTCTTGCACCAAAATGACCAGTTTCTGGAACAGGACGGTATTCAGTGGCTGTGGAGTCTGAGATAACTTTGATGAACCTCCAGGAAGCTCACAGGGAAACAGTTTCCTGCAAATGTCAGGGCTGGGAGGCAGACAGGGCAGTGAGTTATACCTGGCCTGTCCTGTGAATTCGGGAGGGGGCAGAGCCTGTGCTGACGACTTATGAGTTTACCGGCCTCCCCCAAAGCAGCTTTAAAACAAATGCCTTTTCTTGCTACCCTGGAAAAATAAAAGATGATAAAATCTCCCTGTGGAATAATTGAGGATAGTGGATGTAACCAATTTGACTTACTAAAATCCTGACTTTTAGCAGGCAAAATGCATGCTTTGAGGGTCCAATATTTAGAGGCTATTATTTTACAGCAATGGAAAGAACTCATTTGTTGTGACCCTAAAAGCCTGAAAAGAAAACTTTTTCTTTTGTTTTCTTTTTTTTTTTTTTGGAGAGGTTTTTGCTACAGGATGCGTGCACTCACCAGAAAGACAGAGAGAGACAGAGAGACAGAAAGCGAGAAATCACCCCCTGGGGGGATGGCCACACAGCAATCCCTTCTCCTTCATTTTCGGGATCTTGGGCATGCACACACACCCGGTGTGAGTTGTAACCCATCGGATCCGAGACTCGAACCGTGGACAACTAGATGGGAGTTCAGCGACATAGCCATTATGCTAATTACTGGTCCCCCAGTAAAACTTAAAAATAAGTACTCTGCAGAGCTTATAGGAGTGAAGGTGTGTCCTCACACAGACCGTCCCCTGTTTTTGGAAGGCTTTTCCCACTTCATTTCTTTGCTTGGCAAACTCCTAGTCACCCTTTAAGGTCCAGTTTAAATTCTTACCACCTTTGTGAACTCTAGCCCTACATGCCAGGTGGTGGAGAGAATTTCCCCTCCTCTGTACCTCTTTGCTCTGTGTCTGCTCCACTCTTAGACTCCGGAGAGGCGGGACCGTGCCCTTTCACCGCAGGCCGTCCAGCCCTGACACTCAGTAAACAAGGCACGCATTCTCAAAGCTAGGAGAAATCACTGGCAGCTGACCCGTGGGTGGACCGAGGTCAGGGGAAGGTATTAATTACGGTTCCACCCAGTGAAGAAGTAATGAAAATGCAAAAAGCACATTCATTGTTCCTGGGAAAACCAAGTCGATTTGTATCTAAGCTAGAGTTTATTTTATTATTTTATTTTTGCCAGAGGGCATATGCGCTTGTCAGAGAAAGGCAGAGAAAGAGACAGAGAGAAAACATAACTCCCCCGACAAGGTACGGTCACACCACAGTCCCTTCTCCATTTCTCCATCCCGTTGGGGTATGGGGCATGTACCCACAAGTGTCCTGTGTGTTTTTCAAGCCATCAGGACCAGGATTCAAACCACACCTGGCCTTGTGGGATCTGGCTCCCTTAACCTCTAGGCTATGGGACCAGCCCTAGACTTTATTTTAATAAACATGTTTGTGCTCTTGCTTATTATCCTACTCTGATACTCAGAACACCCCTTACCCTGACCCCTAAGACTTTTTCTAGCCTTATTCCCCCAAACTTCCCTCCTGGCTCCTGATGTGCTCTGCTCCCACTCTTCTCTCTCCCTGTCTGCGTTTCCTGCCCCTGGGCCTTGTCTGGTGCTACTTTCTCTTCCTGGGCTGCCCCTTCCCATGGCTGTAACTTTGAACCCACTCACACTGCACAGACTTCAATTATCTACTCAAAAATCACCCCCCTTGAGGGACCAGCAGTTGGTGTAATGGCTATGTCTCTGGACTCCCATGTAGTTGACCGCAGTTTGAGTCCCGGACCTGGTGGCTTAAACTCACGCCAGGCACATGTGCGTGGGTGCCCAAGATCCTGAGAGGAGAATGGAGGAGAAGGGATTGCAGCGTGGCCATCCCCCCTGGGGGATGATTTCTCGCTTTCTGTCTCTCTGACTCTCTCTACTTCTCTGGTGAGTGCATGCGTCTTATAGCAAAAACCTTTCTAAGAAAAAAAAAAAAATCACCTTCCTTAAGACCTTGCCCTGTAAGGCCAGCAGGTGGCAGGGTGGTTAAGGCACTGGAATCCCATATGGCAGACCATGGTTTGAGTCTCAGACCCAGTGGCTTTAAATACGCCTGGCACATGTGCCTCAAAATCCCGAGAGGAGAGTGGAGGAGAAGGGGTTGTGGCTTGGCCATCCCCCTGGGGGTGATTTCTCACTTTTATTCTTTCTGTCTCTCTCAAGCCCTATGGCAAAAACTTATAAAAAGAAAAGAAAGACGCTGCCCTGGAATCAGGCCAGCCCAAGGGGCTCCTGCATCGCTGCTCTGCACCCCCACCTGGCACGCAGTCACTCTCCCTAAATCTGTGCTCTGTGTGTGCACACTGCAGCAGCTCACACCGGCCATATTCCTAGGGAGGACGTCCTGGAACTAACATCCTTGGATCCCCCCAGGGCACTGCCCTCCAGCCCTCCTGTCACCACCCTGGCCAGGCCACCGTCAGCTCACTGGTTAATGGTTGATCTCCTAACTGGCTTGTCTCCCTCCACCCATTCTCTGCACAGTAGCCAGATTGATCCTATCTTTTTATTTATTATTTATTTATTTACTTTTTTAGAGAGAGGTTTTTGCTATAGGATACATGTGCTTGCTAGAGAGACAGAGAGACAGAGAGCAAGAAATCTCCCTACAGGGAGGATGGCCATGCCACAATACCTTCTCCATCATTCTCTTCTGGTGACTTTAGGCACACACACACACACATCCTACATGAGTTTAAGCCACTGGGTCCAGGACTTGAACTGTGGTCAACTACGTGGGAATCCAGTGATGTAACCATTAAACCAACTTCTGGTCTCGTCTTTTAAAACCACCAGTCGGGGGGCAGCAGGTGGTGTAGCCACAAGCATGTGTAAAAATGCCACACTCTGTAAGGCTGACCCACAAGGGAAGGTTCTGGGTGCAAGTCTGGAGACCTGAGTACCCTGGCTGTGCACATGCCCACAGTCTGGGCCTGCTGACTGGGACCCTGACGGGATCTGTCTCTGTCACTCATAGAATAAACACAGAATAAAAAGACTAAAACACACACACACAGGCCACATCTCAGCAAGCCCCTGATTTTAAACCTTGTGTGCCTTTGAGATGCTCTTTGGATACAATTCAAACTCCTGCTCCAGGGACAGGAAGGGAGGGCCCTGCCTGCTGCCCCGTGCTCACTCCATGCCACTGTCCCTCTCGCCCTCCCAGTGCTCAGCCCCGCAGACCTTTCATGGGCCAGGCCTGCTCCTTCTGGAGTGCTGCTCCCCAACCCTGCCCCACTGGGTCCTGCTCATCTTTTACTTCCTGAGAGGAATTCTTTTTTAAAAGAATTATTTAGTTGGGTCTAGTAAGTGGTATAGTAGTTAAGGCTCGGGACTTCCACATGGCCGACCGTGGTTTGAGTCCCGGACCTGGCAGCTTGAAACTCACACAGGGTGTGTGTGCATGCATGCCCAAAATCCCGAGAGGAGGACAGAGGAGAAGGGATTGTGGCATGGCTGTACTACATGGAGGGGGAGGGGAGTGATTTCTTGCTCTCTGTCTCTCTGATGAATGCATATACCCTATAGCAAAAACATTTTTTTTTAAATAAGAATTATTTATTTAATTGTGTTTATCATTATTATTTAATTTTGCTACGGGCATGTGTGCTCACCAGAGAGAGAGAGGGCAAGTGAGAAAGCAAATCGCCAGGTTGGGGACTCGAATCATGGTCGGCCACGTAGAAGTCCATGCCTTACCCACCGCGGGAGTAAACCCTTGGTCTGTGTCCTGGCTGAGGCCTCCTGCGCGCGCTCACAGCTTGCAGTTCTCTCTGGTCCCTTACCTGTAAGGATTTGTGACTGTGTGTCATCTGTGACACTCTGTCCTCCAGGGCGGGGTGGTCTGTTTAACCATTACTTGACGCTCTTTCTGATGGCCTTTGCAGGCGTCATTCATCTCCCTTCCTCTTTGGTAAAGCCCGAGTACTGCTAAAATCTCCAGTCTCCAGAGGTCATGTGCTTCAGGGGATTTAAGCCAGGAGAACAGGGTTCTAGTAACCTATGCATAAGCATGAGATAGGGTTCTGGTAAATGGGATGTCAAGGGAAGTCTACTAAGGATTTCTGGGGGAGATTTTCATTCTTTATTAATAACAAAAAGATACCTGGGACAGAACAGTACTGTTTCTCCACTAGACAGTTAGCCCAAGGCAGGCCTGGAACAGTGGCAGCTATCTTGAGACCATGAGGAAAACTAGCTAAGTATAAATCATTGTCCTAAGGAAAAGCAAATTTTAAAAAAGTGAAAAAGAAATCAGATCCTTAATTACACTGGCAAGCTTCTAAATTAACACATCTTA